GGTGCGCAGGACGTAGGTGCACGGACCAAAACCCCCACCCCGCTGGCGTGCAGTGTACCACTCACGGAGCTGCTGAGGGGACAGGGTCTCACGACCGCGCTGCTGCTGCTGGCGCGGACCAACACTGGAGCCACTCCTCTGCGTAGACCCGCGACCAGCTCCACCGCCACCCCCGCCGCCTCCGCCGCCTCTGCCGCCTCCGCTACTACCGCCGCCTCCGCCACCTCCTCCACCGCCGCCACCTCTGCCACCTCCGCTCCCACCGCCACCGCCGCCGCCACCTCCGCCTCCACTGCCGCCACCGACACCTCCACCCCCACCACCACTCCCACCGCCACCCCCACTCCCCCCGCCGCCTCCACCTCCACCGCCCCCGCTCGCCCCTCCAGTGCCCCTGCCCCTCTTGCCCTTGCCAGAGCGGCGTCTCCCGCTAGGGGCAGACGCCACACCGACTTACTCAAGACCAAGGAGGTCGGCCGCAGCAGCAGAGGCAACAGAGGGCAGAAGGGGGGAGGGGGAACACCCCTCAAAGATGGGGGTGCGCGAGTCACCACGAGAGGCCCCTACAGCGACTATGCTCCTCTCGGCCGCTAGGAGGGACTTCTCGAGGAGGTCAACAGTGAGAGTGGTGGGACAGACTGAGAGGAAGTGGTCCTTGACTACGCGAAGGGAGTCAGGGAGGCGAGTGACTATGTAGTAGAGAGTGATGTACATGGGGGGGGGGGTTCTTGGCGCAGAAGTTAGCAGGAAGCGCAGCGCGGTAACGAGTGTCACTAGTGCGGAGGTGCGTAATGAGGTCAGCGACTGTGGGAAAGGCAGCAAGGTCAGGGAAGAGGTACGGTAGCATGAGACGGCTCAGTGCAGCAGTGGCAGGGGAGGAGTAGCGCGCAACTACAGCGTCGTACAAGGTCTGAGCACTAAAGTGCGCACGCTCGGAGGTAGGGAGGTGGCGACGCACAGCAAGACGTGCAGCAGCGTCGCGCGTGGCCCACTGGGAGCGAACAGTGGCGTCGGCATCAGCAGCAGGGGCAGGAGAGGCGCCAGACGTCAAAGTCAATGGCTCGACCCTCAGCGTCAAAAGCGAGGACACTAGGGGTAGCCATGACCACAGTAGACTAGCAGTAGGGTGAGGGCAGTGCAAGAAATGAGGCACTGTGCTCACCGGACGGGGCTGCTCGGGCGGCTCGGAGGTAGGGCGGCTCGGCGGCTCGGCTGCAGGGCGGCTCGGCTGCTGGGCGGCTCGGCTGCAGGGCGGCTCGGTTGCAGGGCGGCTCGGCTGCTGGGCGGCTCGGCTGCAGGGCGGCTCGGGTGCTCGGTTGCTGGGCGGCTCGGCTTCTCGGCTGCTCAGCTGCTGGGCGGCTCGGCCGTGCTGCTGCAGGGCGGCGCGACGGTCGGCTGTTCGGCGAGGTGAGGCGGCCCGGGCGGCTCAGGTGGCGGGCGGCGCTGCAGCAGGTGACGGGGCCGCAGGGAAGGCGGCTGGGCCGCAGGTTAGGGCGGCGAGGCCGCATTTGAGGGCGGCGGGGACCGCAGGTGAGGGCGGCGAGGCCGCAGGTAAGGGCGGTGAGGCCGCAGTTGAGGGCGGTGGGGACCGCAGGTGAGGGCGGTGAGGCCGCATGTAAGGGCGGCGAAGCCGCAGTTGAGGGCGGCGGGGACCGCAGGTAAGGGCGGCGGGGACCGCAGGTGAGGGCGGCGAGGCCGCAAGGGCGGCGCGCGGGGTCGACGGGCGGCGCAGGGGGGGGGCCGCTAGGGCAGCGCGCGGGGTCGACGGGTGGCGCAGGGGGCCGCTAGGGCGGCGCGTGGGGTCGACGGGCGGCGCAGGGAGCCGCTAAGGCGGCGCGCGGGGTCGACGGGTGGCGCAAGGAGGGGCCGCTAGGGGGGCGCGTGGGGTCGACGGGCAGCGCAAGGGGCCACAAAGGGCGGCGCGACGGTAGGGAGGGCACACGGGGCGCGCGCGACTCGGTCTAGTCTAAGGCGCGCTCCGGGCAGGAAAAAAAATCGTGGTGGGCCCTAGGTAGCGTTCCCACTAGGGAACCTGCTCTGAAACCATGAGAAGAAACGAGAATGGATGAACTAAGAATGAACTGAGTACAAGTACTAACCCTTATTGGGTTGTACCCCTTATAGGCTACCCCACTATAGCCTACACAATAAGCACAAGCTATATGTTCTGACAGGAGGAATCACGGTAACCAGAAAGAATGGGGGGAGAAGAGCCACCAAGAGTGAGTGCAAGATCAGAGGTAGCGCGAAGATAGCGGAGAACGCGCTTGGCAGCCGCCCAGTGCACGTCAGTGTGGTGACCAAGGCCAACAAAACGAGAGAGGACACTGAGGGGATAAGCAAGATCAAGGCGAGTGCACATCATAGCATACATGAGTGACCCAACGAGCTCTGGATAGGGTCGCAATTCTGAGGTGGGAGCAGGGACAGCAGGGGTAGTGAGTTGATGGTTAAACGGAAGAGGAGTGGAGACCGGTTTGGCCTGGGACATTTCGAACCGCTGAAGGATGGAGTGAATGTAGAACGATTCAGAAAGAGAGATGGTGTGGGCAGCACGATCGCGACAAATCTCCATGCCAAGATAGTGACGAAGCTCGCCGAGATCCTTCCACATAAGACGCGCCTGCAGGGCCTTCTTGACAGCTGCCAAATCGGCAGAATCCTCAGCAAGCAGCACCAAGTCGTCCACATAGGCAAGAATGTAAAGCCTGTGAGGGGAAGTGTGAATGAAAAGACTGGGGTCGGAGGTAGAGGTGGAGAAACCAAGCGAGTGAAGAGTTGAGGCGAGCTTGGCATGCCACTCGCGGGGAGCTTGCTCGAGGCCATACACAGGGTGCTTCAGCTCCCAAACGGTGCCTGGAGGAAAGGGGCGAGGAAAGCCTGCGGGGCGCTCAAGGAAAATGCGCTCATGAAGCTCGCCCTGAAGGAAAGCATTGGAAACATCCATGGAATGGATCTCCCAATCCCAGCGAGCACCTAGGTCAAGAAGGAGGCGAAGGGTGGGGAGGCGAGCAGTGGGAGAGTAAGTGGCAAAGTAGTCAATGCCTTCACGCTGGGTGAAGCCTTTGGCGCAATAGCGGGCTTTGAAGAGAGGAAGCTCCCCAGGCAACTGCTTGACACGAAAGATCCATTTGCCCTTGATAATGGTGGCACCAGGGGGGGGGACAGAGTCAACGTAGGAATTGGTACGAGTGAACGCCCCACACTCAGCAATGATGGCAGCCATCCACTCCGAGGCGTGAAAGCTAGAAACGGCCTCGGAAAAGGACTAAGGGATGGGAATGGCGGCAGTGTCGGCAGAGAGAAGAGTGGGTGAATTGCTGAAGTCGCCGATGGTGACACAGAGAAAAGGAGAGACAGGGTGAACAGAGAAGAGTTCCTCAAACCGATCTTCAAGAAGATTGGGGTCCTGAGAGGAAGATAGACGATTGAAAAGAGCAGAGTGTTGAAGATTTGACATTGCGCGGGTCATGGAGCAAGTGAGGCGCGGGGAGGGTGGAGGAATGGGAACAAAAGGAAGGGAAGCATCAGAAGGTGGTGATGGAGAGGGCGTGGGAGCTGAAGAGGAAGAGGCAGGAGGAGAGTTGCCTGATGTGACGGCGGAAGGAGGGGCGGAGGGGGCAGGCGGGAGAGGAGGAGCATGGGCGGGGGGAAGGGGAGGTGGGGAGAGAGTAGCGGAGGGAGGAGGGGAGGGACGGGGATCAAAGTCAGACCAATGGAGAGAAGGAGCATGAGGGTGGGAGGGGGAGTGAGAAATGGAGAGCGAGTTTCATCAAAGATGACATCCTGGCTGCGAATGAGCTGCTGAGAGGAGGGAGCATAGAAAAGGTAGCCACAACAATCAGAGTTAATGCCAATGAATGCACAGAGCTGCGTCTTAGGAGCGAGTTTCCCACCCTGACTTGCCCGATCAGCCGGATTGACGAGGACATGAGCGACACAGCCCCACACCCGAAGAGGGCAAGCAGAGGGCTGGCGGCCCGTCCAGAGCTGAAAGGGGGTAATGGTGGGGCGAAGGGGATGAGGGCAAAGGTTGGAAGGAAGAGTTGCGTGAACAGGAGCATAGCTCCAAAGAGAGCGGGGAGTGGAAGCATGGGTGAGGAGACATCGAGGGATCTCCATAAGAGTGTGATTACGACGCTCGGCAATGCCATTCTGTTGAGGAGAGTGCGGGAGGGTCGAGGTTTGGCGAATGCCATGAGATGAGCAGTAAGAGGAGAGAGAATGATTAAAGAACTCGCCACCACCGTCGGAGTGGAAACGCGCGACAGGACGCCCGAACCGAAGGCGAGCCTGTTCAGCCCAACGAATGATGAAGGGGCATCAGATTTGGCACGAAGTGGATAGATAGTGGCAAAGCGGGAATGGTCATCAACGAGAAGGAGAAAGTAACGATGACCTTGTCGGAAGGCAATTGGGGAAGGACCCCAGAGGTCCATATGCACGAGATCAAGAGGCTGGGGGGAGGCAGAAGGGGAAGAGGGATGAGGAGACTAAGAGAGCTTGGCTTGAACACAAGGGGTGCATAGAGGGGCGGGAGAGGGAGGAAGGGGCGGGAGAGAGGAGCGGGGCCTGCCATCAAAGGATGGGTGGTGAAGCAAATGGACGTGACAACCGCGTTCTTCAACGGCATTCTTGCAGAGGATATTTTCTTGGCGCAGCCAGAGGGGTTTGATGATGGGAGTGGCAGAGCCTTGAAGCTGAAGAAGGCCCTCTATAGGCTGAAACAGGCCCCTAGGCAGTGGTACTTGAAGCTGCGTAAAGTATTGGAGGAGATCGGTTTCACTCCATCAACGGCCGATCACTCATTGTTCATGCTTGGCTAGGGGGAGCAGAGGAGCTTCATGGTGGTGTACGTGGATGACATGGTGATATTCTCACCCTCCTACCTTGTGAGGGAGGTGATGCTGAAGCTTTAGGACAAGTTGAAGTGCAAGGCACTTGGCGACGTGAACTTCTACCTCGGGCTTCATATCGAACGTGATGTGGAGAAGCGGTGCATGCAGGTGCATCAACGAGTCAGAATGTTATGTTTGTCTAGCCTGCAGTGGGGTACTCAATAGTGAGTACAGCCCAATTTCGGGTTTGCTATATGTACTCAACTGCTTGCTAGTGAAACCACTTTCTTCCATTCATTCCTCATTTCTTCACATGGTATAGAGCAGGTTCCCTAGTGGGAACGTTTCCTAGGGCCCACTGAATATCGATTTTTTTTTTTTCCTGCCCGGAGCGCGCTTCGCCCAAGCCTGAGGCGAGCCCCGTGGGCCGCCCTCTCGTCGCGTCCCCTGCCCTTAGCGGCCCGTCGCGCCCTTCTAGAGGCCCCTCTCACGGCCCCTCGCGCCACCCCTAGCGGCCCCGTCGCCGCCCTTAGCGGCCCCGTCGCCACCCTTCGCGGCCCCGTCGCCGCCCCTAGCGGCCCCGTCGCCGCCCTTCGCGGCCCCGTTGCCGCCCTTCGAGGCCCCTCGCAGCCTCTTTGCGGCCCCGTCGCCGCCCCTAGCGGCCCCGTTGCCGCCCTTTGCGGCCCCGTCGCCGCCCCTATCGACCCCGTCGCCGCCTCCAGCGGCCCCGTCGCCGCCCCTAGCGGCCCCGTCGCCGCCCCTATCGGCCCCGTCGCCGCCTCCAGCGGCCCCGTCGCCGCCCCTAGTGGCCCCATCGCCGCCCCTATCGGCCCCGTCGCCGCCTCCAGCGGCCCCGTCGCCGCCCCTAGCGGCCCCGTCGCCGCCCCTATCGGCCCCGTCGCCGCCTCCAGCGGCCCCGTCGCCGCCCCTAGCGGCCCCATCGCCGCCCCTATCGGCCCCGTCGCCGCCTCCAGCGGCCCCGTCGCCGCCCCTAGCGGCCCTGTCGCCGCCCTTCGCGGCCTCGTCGCCGCCCTCTCGTGGCCCCAGTGCCGCCCTCTCGCGGCCCCGGTGCCGCCCTCTTGCGGCCTCGTCGCCGCCCTTAGCGGCCCCGTCGCCGCCCCTTGCGGCCCCGTCGCCGCCCCTTTCGGCCCTGCCTCGACCCTGCCCCGGCCCCTCCCCGGCCATGCTCCGTCTCCTGTCGCGGCGCACCGGGGACCCGTGCACCGCCCCCCCCTCTTTTCCCGTCGCCTGTCGAGGCGACCTGAGGGGGCCGCGCGCGGCCCCATCGCCGCCCCTAGCGGCCCCGTTGCCGCCCCTATCGGCCCCGTCGCCGCCTCCAGCGGCCCCGTCGCCGCCCCTAGCGGCCCCGTCGCCGCCCCTATCGGCCCCGTCCCCGCCTCCAGCGGCCCCGTCGCCGCCCCTAGCGGCCCCGTCGCTGCCCCTATCGCCCCCGTCGCCGCCTCCAGCGGCCCCGTCGCCGCCCCTAGCGGCCCCGTCGCCGCCCTTCGCAGCCTCGTCACCGCCCTCTCGCGGCCCCAGTGCCGCCCTCTCGCGGCCGCGTCGCCGCCCTCTCGCGGCCCCGGTGCTGCCCTCTTGCGGCCTCGTCGCCACCCTTAGCGGCCCCGTCGCCGCCCCTTGCGGCCCCGTCGGCGTCCCTTTCGGCCCTGCCTCGACCCTGCCCCGGCCCCGCCCCGGCCATGCTCCGTCGCCTGTCGCGGCGCACCGGGGACCCGTGCATAGCCCCCCCCTCTTTTCCCGTCGCCTGTCGAGGCTACCTGAGGTGGGCGCGTACAGCCCCGTCGCCGCCCCTAGCGGCCCCGTCGCCGCCCCTATCGGCCCCGTCCCCGCCTCCAGCGGCCCCGTCGCCGCCCCTAGCGGCCCCGTCGCCGCCCCTATCGGCCCCGTCGCCGCCTCCAGCGGCCCCGTCGCCGCCCCTAGCGGCCCCGTCGCCGCCCTTCGCGGCCTCGTCGCCGCCCTCTCGCGGCCCCAGTGCCGCCCTCTCGCGGCCGCATCGCCGCCCTCTCGCGGCCCCGGTGCTGCCCACTTGCGGCCTCGTCGCCACCCTTAGCGGCCCCGTCGCCGCGGCCCCGTCGCCGCCCCTTTCGGCCGTGCCTCGACCCTGCCCCGGCCCCGCCCCGGCCATGCTCCGTCGCCTGTCGCGGCGCACCGGTGACCCGTGTACCGCCCCCCCCCTCTTTTCCCGTCGCCCGTCGCGGCTCCCTAGGGGGCCGGGCAACCTGGATGGGGGGGGCGAGCGTCGCCCCTTCTGCCGCCTGTTTTGGCGCCCTGGGAGGCCGCGCGTCGCCCCCCCCCCCCCCCCGTAACCTCCCTACCCGCCGTCCCGCCCTGCCCTGTGTTAGGGTCTGGGGGTGGCGAGTAGGGGGTGGCGGGTGTGTGGTCTCCCCTGCTCCTCCTCCTCCTCTATCTCCAACTGCTGCAGCTGCCGGTGAGGGGGGTGGGTGTGTGGGAGTCGACGGAGTGGTGCTAGGGGGTGGGGTGTGAGTGAACCTAGGGTGCAGCAGGGGGTGTGTGAAAGGGGGGTGGGATAGTTTGGGGAGGTTGAAGGGGGGTGGCCGCCGTGAAGTCCGCAGCTCCAGTCGCTCGTGAGACCGTTGCGCCAGTCGTCCATGAGCCCGTTGCGCCAGTCGCCCGTGAGCCAGTTGCTCCAGTCGCCCGTGAGTCCGTTGCTCCTGCCCCTCAGAGTTAGCCGCGGAGCCAGTTACTCCAGTAGCCCTTGTGCTAGTTGCTCCAGTTGCCAGTGTGCCAGTTGCTCCAGTTGCCCGTGTGCCAGTTGCTCCAGTTGCGCCGTGTGCCAGCAGCTTCAGCTGCCGCCCACTACCTCCTCTCCTCTCATAGTCCCTCCTCCTCCACACTTGCCCTCGGTGATAGCCTCTAGCTTTGCTTACATTTGTGAACTTTAAACTGTTGCTTGCTTGTTGTGCTGATTACACCCCACTTTGGCTATGGGGGTGTGTCAGAATGTTATGTTTGTCTAACCTGCAGTGGGGTACTCAATAGTAAGTACAGCCCAATTTAGGGTTTGCTATATGTACTCAACTGCTTGCTAGTGAAACCACTTCCTTCCATTCATTCCTCATTTCTTCACACAACGGAAGTACCTTGAGGCCCTGGATGCTAACTTTGGGCAGAGTGAAGGCCATGTGGCTACTCCTTTTCCTTCTGGGTTCAAGTGTGTGACGGGACCAGAGGAGGAGAGCGTTGGTGAAGAAAAGAGGCGCCGTTTTCGCTCGTTGGTGGGCAGCCTCATGTATGCGGTGGTAAACACTCGGCCGGATGTTGCCTTTGCTACCGGGAATGAGGGTGCAATGCCCTAACAAGGAGCAGGTAGCAGCTGGAATGAGGGTGGCCAAGTACCTTGGCCAAACACCGACCGTTGGGCTGCAATATTCGGCGGCGGCGCAAAGGCGCCAAAGGGCGCGGATGGTGTAGAACCCGGCCGTTTGTTCCTCGCCCCTACTTGGATGCTTCATATCCATCTGAACCAGAGGACATGACAAGTGTTGGAGGGTTCATTTGCTGTGATGGTGGAGGCCCAACTGCTTGGGAGAGCAAGAAGCAGGTGGACGAAGCATTGAGCTCGGTGGAGTCCGAGTACATGGCACTCTTCCGTGCCGTACGGGAGATTGTGTGGCAGCGGCGTTTGTTGGCTGAATTGGGGGAGGAGCAGAAGGACCTACCCCACTCTACTGTGATAGCCACGATGCCATTGCTCTTGCTAAGAACCCTGTGTTGCATGGCCTCACGAAGCACATGAGGGTGAAGTGGCATTGGACGAGGAGCATGGTGGCCGCGGGTGAAGTTGAGTTGCGCTATGTGAAGACGACGGGGCAGCCGGCTGACATGATGACTAAGAGGCTGGTGGAGCAACAGCATTGGAAGTGTTGCAAGCTGGCTGGGATGGTTTTGAACTGAGAGAGCAACAAATCCTAAGGCCAACAATCCGAGGGGGGGTTTGTTGGTGCAACCTTACAGTGTGCACTCGGCTTGTTGTCCGTCTGCGTGCATGCGTGTGTGCATGGAATGGTATGATGGCATGGGATAATATATATTTCATGCTTATAATAATGTGTGAATGTTGCATCATGATGTCGAGTGTGTGCGTCGAGTCAATAGCGAGTTATCGCTAGTCGCGTGTCATGCGGTCGTTTGTGTCCCGTGCACGGTCTCTATCTTGTCGTGTGTCCCGTGCACGTTTTTTTTTTTTTTTTTTTTTTTTCCGTGTGTGGAACGTTCGGCGTGTCGCACGTGTGTGCAGAAGACCCATCAAGAACTCAAAGATGAGTTTATAGTGAAGAACCAGAGCCTTGGTTTCAAGATTCAAGTGATCGTGAAGTCCGCGAAAAGGGTACACCTCAAGATATTGATATTAGTTGCATTACCTTGTGTAGTGTAACATTTCACTTGGTGTAGGCCCTTATGAAGGGTAGTTTCGAGACCCTTCGTGGTTGGGAACAGTGTGGCACTATTCCACGTCACTGTACGTTGGGTCTTGGGGTTTGTAGGAGCTGGGAGTAATTCCCAACTCGTAACTCTTCCTAAGTTGTGTTCTAAGACTATAGTGGCTGCTATAGTGCCGTTCGTTCAAAACTGACACTATTGTCAGAATCCCAACCACTAGACCATTGGGATAAAAGGGCTTGTTTCAGTAGCGGGTCAGTGCGCCCATAACCCCCCAGGCGAACGCGCCTGTAACCCTCTCCAGGATCAATCGGGCATCCACAGTGCAGATCTACTGACAACTATGTTGTCAATACACAATGAAATCGTGCGATCTAAATTGCCTATTGTGGGCGACTTGAAGACGCACCAGATCAAGTTTGAATCAGGTCATTTGAAGCTGTGACCAAAACGCTATGATCGTTGAACTCCGCTGTGTAGAAATCCGACTGTGCACTCCATCTTTTGTTTTAGGCACATTGAAGCCTATTGTGACTATAATAGATACCTTGCAGGTGAGGGAAACTGATGCAAGGAGATGACACGCAGATGCGAGTTCGAGATGGTCCTACCATTGGAAGTGATCCTCTTGGGCATCAGTGCGCATTGGTTGGTGGAACATCCTTCCCGACCTGCCTCTCCTCCCGCGGTGCTCAACGAAGGTGGTGTCGATGAGGAAGTAGACGACGGTGACCAAGTTGGCAGTGCAGGAGGCACGAAGACGCTGAGAGCATTAATCAGGTCCACTGACGTCAGCGTCATAGCTCGCTCTGCAACTTCGGTGGACAACGTCGCTCTCCCCAAGGAAGTAGAGTCAGGCCTACATCGGCGACCCACATCTTGGCTGGGCGGGACGGGGGAATTGTGCCGGCGTACGGCTACTTCAGATTCTCGCCGGACAAGATCGCCGTGCATAAGCTGCTGGAAGGTCGACATGACTTGCTCACCCGAACGGAGTCAATTGAGCCCTAGCTGGAGATCGCCGGGCTCAAGAAGTTTGTCGTCGGCGACGTGCTGGCGCCGGACGAGGAGGACGCTGAGCTCTGGACGGAGTTCCGCGCTACTCATATGTTAACCTTCATGGTCATCTTGCGGTGCTGCTCGCCAATGGTGCAAGTCGCATTGAAGTCGTGCCGACTTCTGCCGGACGATGGCCACCAGGCGTGGCAGTTCATCATGGGGACGTACAAGTTGACCGACGACTTGTACATTGGCCAGCTGGAGGAGAAGTTGACTCACATCAGGATGGGCGAGCAGGAGTCGGCGACCGACTACTGCAACCGTGCTCGGCGGATTCTGGCCAACATGAGGATGGTCGGCGTCGACTACTCGACGGCGTCGTACATCAAGCACGTCGTCAAGGGCCCGAGCAGCTTCAATTTGATCCGCCGGATGTTGGCGATGCCTGGAGAGCGTGAATCGCTAAAGAAGGACACGGAGACCTCACATATCATCAAGGACGAGGTCATGCAGGAGGCATATTGGCCCACGGAGCTCCTTTCGTATGCAAACTACGTCGCCCCGATGAAGGAGGGAAGTCATCAGGGGTAGCGTGGGAAGCCGGGCGGAGGTGGAAACGGGGGTGGGAAGTCAGCAAAGGACGCCGACAAGGCTAAGTCGGCTCAGGATGGCCGCCGGGGAGGTGGTGGTCCACGACGTGAGTGCTGGGCCTGCGGAGACCCCGACCATTTTTCCTTCGATTGTCCGGACCGCGACGATAGCAACAAGGACGACCACAATGGAGGCCGCGGAAGGCCGGCCAGTCGTCATCCATGTCAGAAAAACAAGTCGCGCAACAAGAAGCTGTCAACAAGGACGACGACTCCTCCTTCGGTGGCAAGGGCCGAGGAGACGGTAAGGCATCGTGCTCGATGGTTGGCGTAGTGGAGTCGACGGTCTCGCAAGCGCCGGAGGCCGGTGAGGACCTCCAGGCGGTGGCGGCAGCCGTGGCGAACCCAACGGTGGTCCTGCTCGATAGTGGCTGCTCGCACCATCTGATCGAGACAAAGGACGTGTAGGCGAACCTGCTGTCGCCCGGCCAGCTGAAGGATAACAGCATGAAGCTGCAAGACAATGGCGATGAGATGCTGCTCGTCTCAGTGGCAGGGGACGTGCTTGGTCGTCCAAAGTACACCGGCCAGGTCCTCTGCACCGATCTTCGCCCTTGCTCGACGAAGTCGGCATTGGCGTCATTGGAGGTGGTGGCTTTGCGGACGATTGCCTCGGCGACAAAGTCGACACCGGACATGTGGCACACGAGGCTCGCGCACGTCGGCGTCGACAGCATCACGAGCTCGGCGAAGCATGAAGTCGCCACTGGCCTGATCATCAAGCAGCCGACTGGGGCCGACTTGCCGTGCGTTTCATGCGTCGGTGAGAAGCTAGTGCGGCACAACTTCCTTGACAAGGGCTCAGACGCCCTAGCCGTTGTGCACGTCGACGTTCGGCGGGAAGCCAGCCCTGGCTGTCCGAGCCGTTCCGGGTGGCCAACATGGACGACAACCTGTACTTCTTGCCGCTGAAGGATCAAAAGTCCCACTACGTGTGGGTGAAGCGGAAAGTCTCACTATGTGTGGGTCGCCAAGAGTTTGAGAAGTGGTTGCCGGTATT